ATCTAAAGCAGTGCTTCTCAACTGGGTTAATAAGATAAGAATCAGGGTGAATGAGTATTATTGTTTATTTTATGTTGTATTCATTCTAGTTGTAGTTTGATGTATATTTAAGTCATAATAAAGAATTTTGCATTTTAATTTAGTACTTTTTTCAAACTGGGATGAGTGAGCTGTTGTGAAAAACTTATAGGGGTGATTGATATTGAAAAAGTTGAGAAGCACTGCTTTAGATGACAAAACAAACTCGGGGTGTTAAAAGGTCTGGAGGCTAAGGACAACTCTAGCACTATCCTTTTTCTCGTGATATATAACTGCGGTATATGCATGTTTTGTGTGTCTGGTTTAATTTTTTAGTTCAACTATAGTTTATGTTGTTGCCATGAAAACCACACACTATAAAAACTACATGCAGTTAATGTTCACGGGAATTTATTTCTAAATAATGTCACTAATCAGTAATGTGTCCAAGGTTCTGTTTCTAACAATTACAAGAGAATTGGTAGTTGTTTTGATTATATATTGTTACTGTCATGATATTCAAAAGCATACAGAATAAAAGTTAGCATCAGGAAAGAAACCCAATTTGAGTGGTTTCAAAAGTGGACTTTTTGAAAATGATAGGGTTTTTACTGTAACGTTCATCATAAGTAAACATGTATTATTTTACTTTGTGATTAATAAATTTCTTGTTACTCCTTTCTATCCTTCTACAAAAAGTAAAATATAGAAATTAAGGAGCCAATGAGCTTTGATGGTTGAGGCAGGGTGTATGTAGTCAGGGAAGTTTTTTTTTTGACCAGTAATCACTAACAGAAATGTATTGACTAATTACTACATCTAGTATACAAGCTCAATAATTCATTTAAAGTAGTTAATGTGGTGATTTATGAGCATAATTTCCTTTATATAATATATATATGTTTATATTAAGTGAATGGTCAGGGAAAACTTAAAAAAAGTCGGGGAATTTATTTTTTTAAAGTTCTGTATACACGCAGTGAGGGTTTGCTATAGTCTCATTCTAGTGTACATAATGTCTTAAAATGTTGAAATTCATTTTAACTTTAATACCTTAATAGTACTTGCAGAAAACAGATACGGTGAAGGTTTTAAAGCCCCTGCAAGTCATTATGAATGATGCAAAACTTTTTTTATTCATTTGGAATTTTTATTATTATTTCTTTATTACTGCTTTAAGTGTATTTCTATTTTAACCCCTTGAGCTCCATACACAGTTTTGCACTCTGTTGCATAATATGGATTTTTACTTTGATTATTTTTGCATAAAACTGTAATATATTTGTGTTTTATGTTATATATGAGCTATGTAGGATATATTTATACATGTATGTATAGAAATAGGCCAAAGAAAGTACGTATATATGTGAAACTCAATATAACTGATAATTATTATATATTACACTTAACCTTAACATTATATGTATGTGTGTGTGTGTGTGTGTGTGTATGTATGTATATGTGTATATATCTCTGCAGCTTGCTCTAGTAGAGTACTTATGGATGACAGCAAGGCTGCTATGCTTATTATTTTTTGGAATGGCAGACGTTGAAGTGTTCAGTGGAACATAGGCCTGGCTTTTCTGGGCATTCAGGACAGTAGGTCCTTATTACTTTCCTTTCTGTGCATATTAGGCAGTTCTTTTGAGGTCTTTTTACTTTTACAGAAGGTGGAATAGACACCAGAGCATGGACTGATTCCTCTAATTTGCTTCATTCCTCTTTTGTTTTGCTGTGGGTACTGCATTCTCACTTTTTCAAAGCCACCATTTGTGTGGACTGTCAACAGTGCTGAGATAACCAGAATACTTCAATTTTTGGTTTCCAGCATGCCTTTTACAGACAAGAAAGTCATTCAGTGTTATCTGAGAAACTAGATGTAGGCCTAGCTTTTTGAACCATGCCAGGGAGTTTAAACATGTTTAAATATGTTTTATTCTTTTCAACTAATGAGGCCTCATACTTTGTTGTAATTACCAGAACATCCTTTTTGTAAACCCATTGCACAATTAGAACATTATCATGCCTTGCACTTGTGAATTTGGGTAGACTTTTTTTCGGCCTCTGTTTGGCCTTATTGTCTCTGTCATGCACATCTTTTTCAAATCTAAATACTCGGCTAACCTCTAATTGGAATACCAGTTGTCAACAATTATGTGTTGTTCTTGGTCTAGTACACTTTATGCAAGATACACTACAATTCTCCTGAAACTGAAAGGTTTTGGGGCATAGCAAATGGCAACCGGTATGTATCCTTTCCATAATATATACTGAAATTCCAAGTACATCCACTCAAATCATTTCCTGAGGAACACATGATGAAACGTTTTAACCCAAAATGTGAGATCTCGGTTTTATATATTGCCGGAAAGCTAACCTACCCTTCCAAAGTACCAAAGCTTCGTCAGTGCAATGTTTTCCCCTGCATCGACTACATATTTACATTTTTCATGTTAGAGGTCAAAGAAAGATTCTAATCGAGTTTGAGCATTCCCTCTTTCAACATCTGCAACATTTGAGAAGCAGAAGAATTTAATGATAGCAAAGAATCTGACCTGATTCATAACATCACTGCAGTAAAAATAAATTCCCAGAAAAAGAGAAGAGCGCTACCAATACTGATGAAGTTGGTTGAACGTACTGTTACGTATTAGAATTTCAAATGGTCTGAAACCGAGCTAAATGATACTTTAAATTTAGTTGTTAAATTGTGCTTTGGATTTAGCAGTTAAGTAAAAGCCAATATATAGTCAGTTTATGATATTTGCCAACAAGATTGATACACAGTTTTCTTTTTTAACACAAATACGTTTTAATATACACACAACAATGCAATTTACAATAACAGTTATTGTAGATAGTTATTAAAAACAATGATTTATAAATAAAAGTTTCACAAACTTACAAGCAATATAGTCTTTTTTCTAGTCTGGATCTTATTTGATATCTTACCGAGGGTTCACAATGAGCGAGTTAATTACGAGTTGATGTAAGTACGATTCGCTTAACGGGAAGCTAGCTAGCTTTGTTATTATTCACCAGCCACACACTGGTTACAGGTTGAGTTTCTTTACCGCTGAAGTTATATATTATCTTTGTAAAGGTACAAATGTCCGATAAGAATCCATTGAAGTTAAATGATTTGTAATGCTCGAACTTTGTAAAGGTTCCTGGTCAAATATCTGTAGTTTTTCGATTGATAAGCATTATAACAACCACAGTTATAGTTACAGAAGTTTATAGCAAACTAAAATAGTCTTTTTTTGTGGGGGATGTCATGTTGTTATATTTATAGGCATGTGGAGGTTTTCTAAAAAATTCACATCACATAACAATACCAATTTAAACGTTTACATATGTACATATATTGTTGATTCTTACTTACGAGAATCTTCTACAACTTTGGAGAATAGGCAGGAGTTTCGCAATACATATTTAACAGTATAAGCTATACATTTTTCTAAATATAAACTTAATGTAAACAAACGCTGATATTAAAATCAATATGTAATAACAAATTCGTTACAGTACATAATCCAATGTATAAAAATAGTAGTAACATCATGCCACTAGATTCCATAAATTTTGTTATTGCAATCAGGATTCATATCGAAATGTTCTTTAACATGATCATTTATATATCCACACAAATAATGCATAAATTCTTCACTGAGAAAGAGTTTGAAATAACTACTATATTTCTCACTGGCCATATTTATATTGGGGTTTATTCCTTCGTATGTCTGGTTCAATGGAGCATTGTCTTCAGGCCTAGCATAAGTAAACGTATCGGAAATTAGTTTCCACCCAGTCAGTGTTTCCCTTGCAACTGGCACTGATTCTTCCAAATCACAAGAACTAGTCATAAATCCCATTCACTGTCACTATGAGCTGGGAAATAGTCAACATCACTACAAGAAGGAATGTTTGCAGCCATGTTTTTTACTAATGAAACAGTCACACTTCAAAGGCAAACAAAAACTGACTCCTGGGGGTGAATGACTCACACATTATTTCCCAAGTGCACCTGTATCAACCAATCATAACTGAGAGGAAGAGCTAATTTACTGATGATGTCATGACTTTTGTCAGAGGTAGCTAACTAATACGGCAAAATGTTAGAAAAAGAAAGCAAAATTATACAGTGTTTCCGCTTCTAACTATAAATGTTGAAGTTATAGTACATAAGCAGGTATGTAGCTATACAATGGATCTCTCTTCTCGTACATATGCAAGTATGTACATGTCTTCAAGGGGTTAATTTTTTCATTCAGATGTACTTACATATTATGGTTATCATTCCTGGTTGAAAGCAAAACACTCAAGTAATTTTACATTTGGCATTCTGGTCATCATGGTGATTTTTCTCTTATTGGTTACACAAGTTGTCCCAATTTGTACCAATACAACTCATGCAAAAAAACCTGAGAACTAAAAGCATTTTTGATAATATATCCCACTAAAAATTATATGCAAGATTAACATGAACCATTTGTTAGATGGTCAGATTAACTGTAACTAAAATAATACTTATAATAACGTTTAGCTATTGTAGTAATATCCTGTACTATCACACACTATCAGTCTTGATTACAGTGTAAAGACTACCTTCAATTTTGGAATGTTATTGGGTATGCAGATTAAGGGTTGGTGTCTTACAATGTATTAAAGAATGTAATCCTGCTAAAATCACTACTAAATTACTAAGTTAATGTATAAAATACTTAATAAAAACTGTCTACAATTATTGCATATGATGTTTTTATCAATTTTTACTGTAGTCTCAAAATATCTTAGTAAGCAGTTGTTTACATATATATGTTGTTTTAAACATACCCATTAGTATAAGTAGTATTTATTTTCAGTGGTTCAAGCACTAGTAGCTTTAGTCAATGATCCAGAACCTGAACACCCGCTAAGAGCAGACTTAGCTGAAGAGTTTACCAAGGACAAGAAAAAGTTTTTCAAGAGTGCTGAGGAATTTACAAAGAAGTTTTCAGAGAAACGGCCAGCAGAGTAACTATAATTTTATCTTTATTTTTTATTATTATTATTAAGTATTACACACCAGAATAACACTAAAAACAAAGAATGGTAGCATGTATAGTGTGCTAAGTAATGTATACAAAAATTAACATCAACTCACCAGCACCAAAAGTAAAATATATTAAAGATGTAGCTGGTTAGTTTTTTGTTTAATGACTGAACTTATCCCAAGTGTTGGAACTTGGATAATAATGTATATTGAGCTTTTAAAGCCAAAGAAAGTTCCTCTTATATATTTTTGTCACAAGTGCTTTTCGTTATTTTAGCTATTTTATGTAGAATACATCAAGATTTATGTATTTGTGAAAAATAAGTTGATCATTAGCTAAGTGTGTGTGTGTTGTTAGTAAAACTAAAATCGTAACAGTGAAGAAATCATTTATACAGTTTAATCCACTGTAAACATTTTTTTAAATAAGTCTGGTGAAAAATATACATTTATTCCATTTTTTTTCTTTTAAAGTTATTAATAACAAATATGTGATATTACTTGTATCTGATCTCATTTTATCTCAATATCCTGGATAAGTTATAAGTTCAAGGTGTGTGTAGATTAAAGACATGTGGAAAAAATATTAGCCATACTTTAAAGTTTTATACTAATAACCTGCACAAATCAAATTTTGTAACAACCCTAAAAAAATGTCTGGAAACTGCAAAGTAAAAGCTTTAAGCAATCCTTATTACTCAAAATAATGACTTTTCAATGTAATTTAGTATTGTTCCAGTGTGTCCTAAATTATTTGAGTTTTTATAGTGTAAATAGAAACTAGTATAGTGCTCAAGAGTAGAAAATCCAATATAGGACATTATATGTTATTTATGCTTTTATTGTAACATATTCTCGCAAAAAGTACATTGTACAAGTATACTTAAATCAAATACCTTGGTTTACAGCAAAATAAAAACATGATTTAAACTGAAAAAATTTCATAACATTGTACATTCAAACTCCAAAAATAAGTATTCTTTCCTTTGAAAAAATAATTTTTCTTACTTGTATAAAAAGTACCTTACATTGATCTGTGACAACCATTATTCTGAACAAAAATGTTCGAGATCATGAAAGATGAATTGAAGTATCAAGATGGATTTGTAATTATTACTGTTGCATTATATCTCTTCATTTACTCTGAAGTCTGAAATATGTTTAAAATATTTAACAAGTCGGAGCTGTAAAGGCCACAAAGAAGAATGTAATATTAGTTTTTTATGTTTATATTGCAGATTAAAGCTAAATTGCCTTCACTTATTTTCTATGATTTTGTTATATAAATACATATTGGAATGGTCCATAAAATAACTAACTGTACCACAAGTATACATGTAAACAGTATCATCAATTGGAAAAAACTGTAAACGTTATCAGATGTTTACTTCATTTGATTTAATACTCTATCAAAAAAAAAAACAGTAAAAAAGTTAGTGCTTATGAAAATATTGACTAGGAATTATACTGCTTTATACCTTTACTCCATATTGTAATCATACACATACTTTCTGTTACGACCAGAGAAAACAACACAACAACTACAAACTTTGGTAAAGAAGTTTTCAATTCTAATTAATTATTTTATTGTAACATTAAGGTAGTGACATTTTAAAACTAAAAGTTTAAGGAATACTTACTTCAATTTGAGAAATAAGTTATATCATATAATTACTATGACTTATACTATTCGAATTTCCATCAATATGGCTAAGGTAATAAACACTAGATAAATTAATATTAGGTAAACACCATACACACGCTTCACTTTGAACTTTAACAATGGTAGAATGATGAAAGTAGACACAAGAGAAGTCGTAAGAGTTCCATAGAGTAATTCAACATGCCGAGTAAACTGCAACTACAAAAAAATTTTGCATTATCAAAATATTAAATCAGACAACATATTGAAACTATTTTTTTCTATGGATAAGCACTTTCATTACGGATTAGCAAGTAACTGAAAATGCCTAAAGAATTCTTATCATGTGGGTTGTGGATTTATCAGCTGAAGTAATACAATTTGAATTTTAATAATAAATAATTTTTAAATAATTCAAAAATGTTTTGAAATCTGTGGCATCGTGCTCATTGAATGTTCATGAGTTGTTACAATTTTACATTCATAGTTTATAGACTGGACGTTAAAAAAAAAGGTTCCATGCACAATCAAACTTTAGTTACAATTCTACATGTTTCAGCAGTATTTCATAGTACTAAAAACAAAGGGTAGCATGGTAAGTAATGGATACAAAAATTAACATCAACTCTCTTGCAAGTACAGCAGTTTAGAATCTCAGCATATGTAATTCTGCCACTATGTAATTTTCATAATAAAACAACTCAATTTGGGACCATAAAGGACTCAAGGAAAATAAATGATATATTACTCATATATTGTAGATCTGTGACACTAACCTTTAGGGGATGTACTTTTTTTGCCAGAGTTAATGTGTAAGGCAATCCAAATCCAAGAAGCAAATCTGTATGATGTTAAGGACTCTGTCTTTTTTTTTTTTTAAACTAAGCTATCTTTATTGTAAGTGTTCCAAAGTTAAAAACTGTAAAATCAATAGTGTTTCATTACTAGGATTATTTTAATAAACAGTGAGTTTGAAGCATCATTAAAATGATTTATTTTCCTTTCAGTTCACTTCACTTAAACCATCCTAAAAATTGACACACAGAAGCAATTGACAAAACAATGAAACTTTCTTGTGTGCCTCACTAACTGTTCAACTACAGCACTTATCTCTAAGTGGGTTAGTTACCTGACACGCTAATGCAGGTGAACATTCAAGTTGATTAGCCCAAATATGCAGTAATCATAATTAAACTGCCTTGTTAACCCTTTCCCTGCAATGAATGGGTTAATCAGGTATTTATTATTGTCTTAAGATATGAATGATACTATCTTCAGGTAAATAAACAATGCTACCACTAATCACAAAATGTTGTTTTTTTTTACTTGTGTAAATTGAATTTATTTTTCTTAACACACCTAAGTTGAAGACCAAGAAACTATGCAGTAAAAAAATTAGAGACTGAGAGTTCAAATGATAATTTTCAAAATATGTCTGTGGATTAAACTGATACTTGAAAAGCGATACCAGGTATTTTTTATTTTACTAAAAAGAAGGCAATTAAAATAAGTGACTGTTTTTACTAAAATATTAAAAACTATATGGTTATGATGCATTTATTGAAAAAAAAAACTAGTTTTCAAGTAGAAAATATTTCAGGCTGCTAAAAAAGTGGTGTTCAAGAACAATCACTTATTTTTTTTAGATCAAGCTAAACAATGGGCTATCTGCACTGAGCCACTAGGGGGACATGTTCTTAAAAACTTCTGAACTATACATAACAGTAAACAATGTACTACATCTATATGCATATATACACATGTAGAGAAAAAAATTTACTTTCATTTTTAAGTTGGGCAGCCTTACTGTTTATTGGTGTTTACAGCATGGTAGAAGATTGAAGCATTATTTTTAACATATACTTGCCCTTGATAATCCATTTCTTTATTGTTAACAAAAAACAGGATATGGCTTGAACGTATCTATAATTAAGAAAAGGAGCTTACCGATGTATCATACTTACCATAATGTTATCATCAACAACGTAATTTTGATGCTCAGCTGTTATTAAAGTTAGTCAGTCTGTCATTATGTCTGAAGATACTTGCTGTAAAGCAGCTGAAAGCTCATACAACAAAGCAAGTAAATGTGGAGTATAACCAATAAAAACAAGAACAATCTCTAAACAAGGACCCCTAGTGACAGTGCAAGAAATCCAAATAGGAGTAATTCAGAACCCAAACAGGCCCAACATTCTAAGTATAACTAAAATGATGTACAATATACTTCAGTTGATTTTTTTATCTTGAAATAATTTTTGTAAAATACAAATTAAAGAGGGTTACTGCGTAAATCAAGTAGAGTGTACTGATCTATCAACTGTACATTCTCACAGTTAAATGTTTTTGATCCAATTCCCAGTTAAGCTCTTAAATATTAGCTAGCTTGTGAGATTTAAGTTAAATTGAGAAAAAATTCAAAATGTAATACTTAAAGAAATAAAGTACAATATATATTTAAAACAAGAGGAATCATCAATAGCCACAGCTGTAATTAGATCTCAAATCAGTCAAGAGATGGAGCTATGAGCTAAAAGTTTGTACATGAAAGAAAAACTCGGCGCCATTCTATGAGCCGCTATGCTGTGGCTAAAAATTATTATAAGGAATGAATATGGTTATAAAATATAACAGTTTCAGTGAACCATAAAGAGTATATCATAGCTTATACAGTTACTCTTGTTAGAATTTATTGGTAATAGTCAGGAGCTTAATGACACACAACTGTTAGCCTATCAGTAAATCTTTAAATGGTTCAGAAATCATAATCATGTAGATGACAAAAATTTAACAATTGTAGAAAAGGTCCTCATACCATGTGCCTTTTGAAACAATGTGTAATTTTTCAGATATCCCCTCAGTTAATTTATGCATTTACATTCTATACAATTAATCTTAAGATATTTAGTCAGAACTTGTAAATGGAATACCCATAGACTAACTAAAAGTGCCTTAAGTTTATAGTGTTGACTCATCAGTGTTTGCACACAATCATTCCTAAGGACTTTCCTAGGCTTTAACTTTTGTTTGTCAAGGACTCTCAACAACATACATTCATGAAATGTCTGACAAAAAATTATCTTTCACCATTCACAGGATCCAAAATAATGCATTTTGGTGGTGTTTAAAGAACAACTGGAAGATAGTCCCTCTTAAAGCTGCACTTTACCTACAAACTCCATAGAACTTAAGTAATGTTAAATCTGTGTCCACATTCATCAAGAATGCTATGTTAATGCTGATATGGAAAAGTCCAAAACTTTAATATAGATAGAACTTCACCTATGCATCAGAATCTTATTTCTGAACAAAAAATAACAATTTTGTTTTAATATCATGGTGTGTCGGACTCTCTTATAAAAAAATAAATTTAGAGAAACCTTCTCTTTAAGAACAAAAATCTGCATCACTACCACAAGTCTCAAGAAACAATTTGACTTTACTGTTTACGTTGAAGCAATGTTTTGTTCAGTTCTTTCTCTGTTTCTTCAAAGCAACTCCTTTTGTTTTTCTTTGCCAATTCTCCTTAAAGAGTTTGACTCAGTTACAAAAACCAGATTTTTCTGCTTGGCTGTCTGTAGACTTATGTAACTGTTCTATATCCATGTTAATGTGTTTCCCTTTTTACTGTCCATCTCTTTTTCTTCTCTGCTGTCTTTGATCATGCAGGTAAGATTTATAATGGCTTTAAGCACTTGCAGCTGAGGCAAGTAGTCCCTTAGAGATAGAAACATTGATTACCTTTCCAACTGATTTTACATAGCCACAGATTAAAAGGTTAACAAGAAAACATCTACATTTGTATGAAAGCTCTCTGTACTAAAATCCCAGTATCAGCATTTTTTTTTGTCAACATAAAATTCGCAAGTCTGTCAACACAAGAAGCTGCATAATGAATCTCCACATTCATGCTCAGATGACTCTACTTAGGTCATCTGAAATAAAGCAGAACACTGACACACCTTTTTGGAAAGTTGTCAACATAGGCTCAAAATGAAGCTGTCTTGGAAGAGTGGGTTACTGACCACCTCTACAATGGTTTTGAAAGATTTGTACTGGTAGACTTGTTTTTTACTGCACTGACATAAAATGCTACATCATCCTAAACTGAGAATGCTCAATCATAAACAGTTATATTCTCAAACATCAATGGTTAACAAACTTCACAGGCATTTTTGATGAGTCTAAAGCAATTTTGCAGTAGTCTTTCCTCCTGGCTGAAGAACCTTTAAATAAGTTATACAAATGAAATATTTCAGCCAGTAGTAACAGATCCTGCGTTAAAACAATATGAAGCTTATATGGTCTAATGTTTATGAGGGATGTGTCCTAGTCATTTGCCAAAGTTTTTCCCATAATGTCAAAGACATTCGAATTTATATTGGGACTGTCCGTACTGATTTGAACTGTATCTCTGATGTTAAAATATCTCAAACATATTTTCAGTAAATGTTTGAGCTAAGTACTCTGCTGTAACATGGCCTGGATAGACATTTTAATAGCAATACACAACTACTGATAAAACTTCAGGCATTCAACAAATTAATCAATAAACTGTATAAGTAGTATGGTATCCCAATAAATTAGTTCCACAACATTTTCAAAGATCGAATACAGTCTTAAATCATTATTTTTGACTCAGATTTGTAATGATTATTTTATAGCAGTTCAATTCACTCAACTCATAAATAGTGACAGGAAAAAATTATATAAAACTAAATGTAATTTAAACATAAAAAGGCCAAGTTTTAGACATATGCTCTTACCTGGAAATGCTGATACAAAATGGTGGGTGACAACACATCCATTAATCCATCATTGCAGGTGAATGTTCATTTGCTTCTGTTGATTATTTTTATTCAGTGTTTCATAAAACTATCCAACAAAATGTCCCTCCACAGACTGCAATAACAGCTTCTTCAAGTGTTCAGCCAAGCCCAATATACTGAGGTATACAGTCATTCTATCACCACACTCAATTTTTGCAGCTATTTTACTGTCTGGGAACATTTGAAATAATTTAATTATATCAGTGTTGGAATTATAAGAGTTTTGAGTAGCAACAGTACGAACAGTCCAAAACACTCCAGCCTGCAGTACTTCATATTTAAAAACAAACATATGTGTGACAGTGAGAGCCCAATGCTGGGATGACAAGCACTAGAACTTCTAGTTTTGTCCCACTACGAAAGAAACTCAACATGCAGTTTTTTATCAAAAGCCTTCAAATTTATACAATACTTTTTATATATAACCTTAGCACAATCCAACCCATTTTTGCACATATCATTTACTTTGTTAGATAAAACAATACACTTTATAACAACATACTTTGTGTTTTTTCTGACAATTTTTGAATTTATCTTGTTCTAACCATTTCCTATTGAATACACACTTCCCATGATGAAAGACTGGATAATACAGCATAAAATAGTATTGTCTGTTGTATGTTCATGTAATTACTTTGCAGGGTGTGGATGGATCTTCACAAAAGTTGGTATGGAGGTTCATTAAGTCCATGCAGGGGTACATACAAATTTTCAGTTTTGCATTTTGTGGTTTTTATGGGCGTTTTTTATCACTACATTGCCCCCTATGGATGGATCTTCACCAAATTTGGTATGAAGATACATACAAATTTTCAGTTTTGTGGTTATTACCACTACCTCACCTCCTGTGGATGGAGGTTCATTGGGTCCATGGGGAGATGCACACAAATGTTCAGTTTTGCATTTCGAGGTTTTTATGGGCATTTTCGTATTTTGTACCACTACTTTGCCCTCTGTTGATGAATCTTCACCAAACTGGGCCTGAAGGTTTTTTTGGCAGTTTTTTTGGGTGTTTTGCATTTTTTACAATTACATATAAGGGAAGCAACTTTTCATGTCCTAAGATAATAACTTTCATTAATCATGAATTTACATAACTCCCATCAAGAGAACAGGTACTCCAGCTAGTATAAACATACATTTATAACTATTTTCTGTTATTCACTGTTTTGCTTTACACTTGATGCTTGCTGTGTAATATATATAATTTCCCATCACCTTAATACTTGTATGGCTGGGAAAAATTACAAAAACAATTCCACTTCCGGAAAGCCACATGGGAACTGAACGGAATACTGTTCTGGTGAAGACAAAGACTATTAATGAAAGTAAACAACTTAGGGACTGACTGACCTTACAAAACTTCTGAATGGCTGAGATAAAACTAGAGGACTTGTTACATTGAAGTTTTGTAGAATAATTTGATTTAAGGATTTTTCAAGTGATTTTTATGAACTTTTCAAGCTCTGTGTTAATACTGCTCATACAACGTGAAAATGAACTTTTTGTGTGTGTGTGAAGTATGGATGTGTCCACTACAAAAGGAGTATTTCTAAAAAACTTTATACATACATAAAATTTTACTGAAAATATATGTTCATGTACTGAATATGAAAGCTATAAACCAATTTAGTTGTGAATCATAAAAAAAATTAATCTTAATTTTTAACACCCCATTAATAACAGTATGTCTGAATAACTAAACTTACTATCCCACAGTTTGCACCAAAATGTAAAAACTAGAAATACTTTTATAGACATCATACAAGATAAATCACATAAAAGCACTCAATGTAGTTCAGATCTGATATTATATGCTGTCTAATGATAGCTAGAAGTAAGGTCTATACAAAAATAAAAAGGATACTTAATAGTGGTCCTCCTACACAAGCAGAAAAACCCATCTGAGGGAAACCCATTCTGGCCACTGACATATTGGAAACAAGATCTGAAAAGAACCAAAGGTCATTCATAAAACTTATCAATACATAAAAACAGAATGTTTTATTTGTATTTTGAGTCAAAAAAAAAAAAGATTACAAACATTAACAGATTCAGTGTGGAACAGATATTTAACATGATTCATTTGCCAAACCTACTCAGGATATATTTACCTCCACAGAACAGGGCTGCATGAACTGTGGCGCATTTGTGCCAGGGCCATACTGACTATCCAGACCATCAGTTTCACTCTCTCTTTTTTTAATAAATCTTCACATTTTATCTGTTATTTTTTTCTATTCTTACTCAATACAGACTAGATCAATTTGACTGACCTTGTAACCACCATAAAAAAATACAAAATAAATCAAAATTACCCTTTTTTCTTTCTATAATTACTTCAAGTTGAAGCAGGAAACAACATTTAAAACTTCTTAACCTTATACAACTGTTTATAATTAAGTTTTATTGCCTTTTGGACCGTGATTTTTTAAATTCCTGCCATAAGAACTGTCAAAATATAGGATAACATGAAGCAAATGTTACACTAAGTTATATAAAACTTGTGAGCTATTAGTCAGGGCAAGTTCACCTCGTAGAAAATTTTTATCATCATTATATTTATTTATATTATATAATTTAACTTTATCTAGCCTAAAACTTTCTAAGTTTTACATTTTTAAGTTACTTTTATAATAATAAATAAAGAATAGATAAGAAAAGCAAGAAATATATCACTCACCTGTGTAGTGGCTTTTTTTGCTGTCAACTGTCCTATGTTAGCCCTACTACTTTACATCAATGCTACTAGTCCACAAAATAATTTTTTAAAGTAAATAATGCAGGGAATAATGCAGAATAATTTCACGTGAACAACTGAGAAACTGGTGTTTCTGTGAGAAATTTTCTGGTTCTCTAATCACGTGACTTGAGCAATTAGAAATTCAACTTTAGCTCCCATTATGTTCTTGTGGGAAAATTGTTTTTCTCCTCAGTTAAACTGTCAATTATCTGTAACATCACATGGTATAAAACATATGACAATCAATCAACTGAAATCTAAGCTATCTATTGGTTATAAATTTAATGAGAGTTGGCCTTAGTAAAATCTATTAACAAATTGTAATTTACAGCAAGGTAGAGGTAGGTGTGGAGAGTGGGTCAAAACTATATATTCATTTGACCTTATATTATTATTCATCCGTTATTAAAAGCGCTTTGTACATAAGAAAGCCTTAAATTACAGAAGTTTAGCAATTAGAGATTTTGCTTCCACCAAAGCATGATTTTAGGGTAATGTTTTGGCATGCTTCTGTAATGTTGTACAATAACCATATTGTTTTTTATGCACCTAATTCATTCTTACTTGCCATGTTGTACAAGTAAATAATTATAATCGTAATATATCATCCTTAAAAGTTAGATGCATCATATTCTAATTTACTTCAAATAATTAGCTCATAATCTGTAATTAACTTAATATGTATTAATTATAATTAATTTCAAATTTGCTTGTACCTTACTCAAGGAGCCTCAAAAAATAACTGCACCAGGGCCTCAAACTACCTTAATGCAGGCTTGTCACAGAATACTTGATTCTGTAAGTACTCTCTGTGGTTTTAAATAATTTGAAAGTGTTGAACTTTTTTTTTTATGATATAGTTATAAATGCAAATAAGATAGTTTAGATGCAGTACAAAATATTGAAGATGAAAATTTAAAACCAGCACTATTAATGTGTTATTATTATTATTATGAACATGCAAGCAAAGAGTTATTTTTTCGAATGAAACCAGTATTGTTAGTTAAGAGGGATGAGATTTATGCCACACTTAATTAATTGCAAATACTACTGAAAAATATCAGCATCAAAAATCTCTTCGTTTAAATCACAGTTTGTTAACAAAATATGAGCCATATAGTAAGGAACTCCTATCGATGCTTTTGTATGTTAGTTATCATTATGAAAGGTTTATCATCATGTAATTAGAGCTGGATGATTAATGGTATTTGTTAATTGATTGCCCCATTAATTGATTAAAAGTGATTGTTGAAATTCAAGGGCTTTCTATAGACTTTTCAAGCTCTATGTGAATCTTTCTTATACAACATTGAAATGAAGACTTTTTTTGTGAAGTATGGACGTGTAAACTGTAAAATTGTATTGAAAATATACATTCATCTGAATATGAAAACTATATACCAAGTTAGTTGTAAATCATAAAAAAAGCTCTAGTCTTTCTTAATTTTATAACACCCCATTAATAATAGAATGACTGAATAACTAAACAACTTAACATCCCATGGATAAGACAGTTGCCTTCCCTCTAGTCAACAGTTCAAAATTAGTGACTGCGACAGGTAGCTTGTGTAATTCTAAACTTTGTCCATGTTTAAAATAAATTTTTAGCTACAACCAACCATATCACTTTCATGATACGAAAAAATATAAACCAACTTCTTTAATTAAAGCAGTACAATACAGTAAGTGATCCATTTACTAAGACCCCACCCCATTTATATGCATATGTAAAATATACAGATCATGTGTTATGTCAACTGGTTGCTTGAACCCTATTATCGTGTTTTGGTTAGGGTGCAAAGTAATAAGTTAAGAGTAAAAGTCTCCAACTTACAACGTGGTGTGGTAGTTGATGGTCATCTAACAAAAACTCTGTTATCAAAGACCACTTCTCTGATCAGCTATTTAAAAGTTAACATTTTCCTTACCTGAAAATTTATTTCAGATAGATATTCACTTCTCTGTATCATAAAGAGCTATTGTCTCACACACACATACTGGTTGAGTATTCTTTGCTGACACCTATGAATCAACTTCAAATAAGCTAAAATCCAACAAGACACCTTCTAGTCTGTTTGGAATCTATGCTACATTGAAGCCATGGATAAAGGTAGTTCAACCCAATATTGATTGGAAATTTTAATTAAAAACTTCAGTTAGTGTATATTTTCTGCTAAATCCACAAAGTTTCAGTCATGGTACACTTAATGATGTGAAATTAGATTGTGGTTTACATCCTGCCTACTTGGATACTGATGAGCTATATGTAAAAGAAACTCGTAGTGAATAGTGCAAACAGTTCTCTCTCTATCCTGTAAAGCTTTTTAAATGATATCAGTATACACTTAACTTTATTCAGTTTACTAAATAAAACTTCAAACTAGAAATCCAATTCATTCAAAATCTCCAGTGCTAAAGCAGAAAAATATGTAATATAGTTTTGATAAGGATTATTTTAAGAGAGAAGTTTTAGTGACCATATATTGTTCTTTACCACAACAAGTTATACATAAATGACCATAACTAAGCAGACTGTAGTCTCACCCGAATTTAGCTTGAAAATTCTGCAGTTGCAGAAGAATGATAGTATTATGTTTTTAACCATAAAGACACTATAAAAACAACTGAGTTTTCACAAAGCAGAAGGCCAAAAGTAAAACAGTACTGAATACCTAGTCAGTTTCATAACTTTAATAGGTGTGTCTATGATAGGTAAACTGGGTCAAACATCTTACCTCCTAGACTATTCCCCCAAGCAAGTACAGTTAGTCCAAGAATAGCATCACTCAGGTCCATCAATATTCCTACTGCCTTTTTAAAAAAACAACATATATATACTCAGATTTAGCCATAGAAATGTTTTTAATTACATAAAGTTAGATTACAAAGTTATGTATGTGTGAATGGTACTTTTATAATAAACAATAGCCAAACTACTTATCAGCATACTCTCATTTCAGGTTTTACAAAAAAAGTAAAGTTTTTTATAATTATTTTAATTACAGAATGATAAACTGTCTGGAATAAAAAGTCATGTATATCATGTGATAAAAAATCAATGTACAGTATCTTGACAAACTATCTAAATTAAATATTTTTAAATACACATGGTTTGTTTCCAACACTTGCTACTCATGCAAAACAAAAAGTAATTTCTATCAGCACTGTTGGATTAGTAAGATAACGTAGTAAAACATAGTATAAGAAAAGATTAGCTTTCAAATACCATGCAAAAATTAATTTTTTTAAAATCACTTTACACATAATTCGTTGTTAGCTTAAAACACAAGAATCGTGTTTATAAAAAAAATATTAATGGGGGTTTCCCAAGATGACAAATCTAGCAGCTAAATGTATATGATTGAAAATTTGTACTGAAGCTTTTCTTAGCTAGAAAGAAAAACAAGGCTGCTTACAAACTATTAACTTTTATGTGTGTATTTGTAATCATTTTCTTTTATCCATTTTTAATTTTTTTTTAAAAGCAATCTATTAAACAAATTTGAAGTATGTGCAATGTATGCTGGTTGTGAACTAGAAGGAAAATAATTGAATTGAATATATCTACAGTGTAAGATTATTTGAAAAATATATAGTGAGGGAAAAATTGACCTAGACAAGTACAATAAACATACCTGTAGTAATGAAACAACTTCATTAGCTAGGGTATAAATCCAGGTAACCGACACTCCAAATCCCACATAGCCAAAAATCCAGTGATATACTGGAGGTGTGTGATTGGATGATGTAATAAACCCCACAATGGCAAGTAGTAGAGATATCAGACTCATCAAAACCCACAGTGGGAAAACGAATTACCAAGAACCACTGAAAATTACTGTGCAAAATAAAGTAAATAGATTATTATAATAATTTTTCTATCTGTGAATACAAATTAATTATATATATATATATATATATATATATATATAAATTAGACTTTTAGAGAAAAATCACCTTTAAAAACTATGATAGTAATTTATTTACTTGGTGATGTTTTGGAGCAAATGCAAATTACATTCATGTAATTGTCATTAACCGACAAGCTTGTTTCTGGCTTGAAAAAGATTACTTGCTCAAAATGTTAAGCATACAAGTTACTACCATAGATTTTAAATTTTATTGTAATTATATAAATTTTAAAAAACAAGCTTTTTCTGCACATACAAATAATTGTTTAGAAAGAAACCACACTGAAAATAATTTCACTTTGTGAATATTAATACATTCTGAGATCAGGTGGATAAATACTTCAATTCATTTACTAACTTAATTAATGTTTGTAATCCAATAAATATACAAACAAAATCTATTAAGATATGCAATGAAGCTATACTTGCTTCCAGTTGCTGTGAAGATGACCATGGGGCTTGTAAAGCTCTGTAAAACATTGAGGTAACGGCACCAGTTATCTCTGTCATTTTTATAATCAACTACTGGAGTGGTCACTGTGAGAATGAAATACACAGGTGCCTAGTAGGAACCACAAAAATATCTGATCAAAATTCAATAATCTGAAACTTAATCAAAACAATAAATCCTCAATATCTGTTACTTCTTTTTTTTTTGTTAACTTTCTGGTGAGGTAATGTGGTGCCATAAAAAACTAATGATAATTTATAATATGGATAAGATTTTACAATGTATTATCTAATGTAAAGCTTGCAACATTGATTGGTATACTAAATTTTATTTTAAAAAACAACTAAAAATCATAATTTGACACTTAACATCTGCTTAAAACATATTTGATACTATTTTCCATGTATTCTGATTCTTCTATTTAAACCTTTAATATAATGTATTTCAATTTTGTATTTGTGGCAAAGCTACTATTAGAGGCTATCTGTTACCATCCCTAATTTTGAACTACTGATCAAAGGGAAGACAGCCAGCCAGCAGCACTATATCACCCATGCTAAGGTATTGACTGTCACTCTTGTTATCAACTGACAGTTTAAAGTGCAAAGAATATTTTGTGGTAATGCATGGATTCGAACCCAGCTCTTCAGTTCCAAAATAAAGAGCTCTACCATAAAGCCAACTTATATAAATTTCTTAGCCAACATTTCTTAGCCTAATAATAAGTAAATTATAAATATTCTAAAACTTTTAAAACATCAAGCCATTTAAATTTATAAATTTTTCTCAGCATCTTAGAATAATTTATGTGTAACCTACCATATTTTCAAATAAATTTTAACAGAATCTCAGCCATTTTTGAACTATAAACAGGAGCACGATACATTTTTTTCACTCAACTATAAAAAACTTAAGCTGTCAAAGTACTTCAAATTTAATAGCTCCAATCTGTAATAGATTTGAAAGTATTTCTAGTATATAAGTGTAAATGAATTGATATTATAACTTCTTCCTTCCCAAGTAAAAAAATAGATTTCAAATTCTTTGGTCGCTGTACAATGGAATCTACTATTATAAAGGTATCTTTTTTTTTTAAACAAATGTCAGTCATCACTTATTTTATCTTATTACTTTTAGGTTTTCTCATTATTTGGAAGACTTTTTTCATATCGAAATATTATTATACATGATGCTAAGCCTTGCACTGACGAACTGTGCCTGAGCATGTATATCACAGAATCTGATACATACATGAAATAGTCGATCCACATGTGCACAGTACACAAGCAATATTTAAGTATATCTATTGTGGTATTAAAGAAGCAGCGAAAGATATACATAGAAAAACTGAAGTGCTATGATGATGATACATACATACATACACAAACTTTCTTACTTTGTATCCCTTAGGAACGTTTGTGTAAAATGGTGGATTTATAAACTATACAGATTTCAGAAAATTATGAAAACTTTCAGTTGATATATCACATTGTTTCAGCAATGAATTGGTAACTTCTGTCAACTTTTTATGCTTCTTCTAGCAAAATATTAAATATTGTTATAGTTTTCGGAATAGCTTAATCTTTTTTTTTTTTCATCTCAATTATTAATTACATTTTAATACTGTTATACCAAGTGCATCAATATGGTTTATCATAAGAGTTAAAATAAGTCATATTGGTACTAGTTTTCCAAACCTAATGGTTACATCTATAGCAGTATGGAAAAAATAATAATACCAAAACTTGCCAAACAAAAAGTATCACAAAAGTTTATTCTAGAACTATTATACATAATACTTAACTAGGTCTAAAGATGTATCCAAAATAGTCAGATTAGAAGGGATCTGCAAAATGTTAACACAACCAAGTGATAGAATATAATTTTAACTTTTTCTTATTAAATTTTGACTATCACTGGTTGGATAATAAACTTTAGTTTTGGACCATTCACAATTAAGCAAAGAGTTGAACATATTAGAAATGGTATAGGCAACCAATTAGATTTCAACAATGAACTTATTGACTGAAAAAAAAATGCAATCAAGAACTACTAACTGAAAATAAGTAAGACTAACTTAAAGTCTCTACAACAAAGACAGAATAACTAAAATCAATCAACTTTTGCATCAGCAAAGAACACCAGTCTTTTACACAATTATCTTTAGTTTCTGCATAATACCAGCAAATTTCTTAAGAATCCAATTTTCTTAAACCTTATGAATTCTTTGAACATTTTAGTTATTCATCAATAACTCTATAACTTGAGAAGAAAACTCACAAGTAACAGATAGCAAATGAAAGCAATTTTACACATGTAAAATATTATACTGAAATACTCTGTGGCTTAAAATTTTGGAGAAATTTTAATTAGTAAATATACATCATACTCTAAATGTAAATTCTTTTAAAGAATAATTATGTCTCACTTTAATGAAAATTAGAGGCTTATAATGTTTGTTTTAAAGACTTACAAAATTACTTTTCAAACATGTTTGAAATTTTCAATAGCATTAGTTATTATATTCCAAGAACTATATTTAAAATAGTTTTCTAATACTGTGAATCAATAATTTTAGATAAGCATGGGAATTAAATGAGAGATAGAAATATTATCTTCCTCAATGTAATTCATTAATTTCGTCTTTTCAATATTCTAGATTAGATAAAAATGTTTTACTTATTTTCACATTTTACCAAATGTTACATGTCTATTAATGCCAAGATAATGACAATTCAAGTATTGTTACAAAAGCCCCTCTCTTTTCATCATTCAAGTTAAAAATTGAAGTAGAAACAGTCCACTAAAGAAACTTAAAAAATAATTTAAAGCATAATATAGTTCACAAGAACATTTGTAGTTTAAGTTTATATGAAAGTGAAAAATATACTTTAAAATTTCATAAAATGAAAACAATACAGTATTTAATTTACTAACTTCAAATAAGCACACTGTACATATGTGTTCATGATTTAATTAGGAAAAGGTGTTCGAGTGTGAAAAATTATAAAATGTGGTTTGATTTTCCAGCATTGTGATATCAACCATCCTCAGGATGGGAAGAATAAGATTATATTTATACTCTGACATTTATATGCAAACTTTTAAGTAGGAATACAATAAGCAAAAATATAGTTGTATTCAAACAATTATTTTTCTATTTTATCTATATATCATACTGCTGCAAAATAATCTCAAAGTTTTATATTTATTATATCTGGTGAGAAATAAAGTTTGACTTGTTCCAGGGAAAATATTACAAAATGTTTTGTAAACCATGAACACTTACACAATAAAGTTAATTATTAAGTAGTTACTGAAGCAACCATTTTTATTACAATAGATGGAGTTACATTATTTTTACTTAAAAGAAAATAAATTATTTCAATTTACCTTCACTATTTCAAAAATACGAAAGAACCAGCTTTTTTTCTTCCACTCCTGAATTTCAAATGGTGATAGATGGAACAAAAAATCCTTCCATGGAGATATTTCCATCGGGTCAGTTAAAATTATACTTGGAACACAATCTGTAGTTTCTCTGGTTGCTAATGTCAAAAACAAGGAAAATATATTGTGCATAAGTTATAATTTTCCTATACTGAACATGTATTTCCAATAGGTACTCACCTCTACTCACATAAGTAGCTATTCTTGTTCAGTTCTGCTCTCTATATGCAAAAAATGTTTTTCTGCATGCCACAAGCCTTGAAACTTCCACCCATCTGGAATGACTAATTACAATGCATCTCACATGCAAGTTATCATGCGACAACCCTCCATCAATAAGTGCATGACACATTCTTGACTCCCTCTATTCAATTCTACCAAACTATCACTTCGAGTGTTGGCAGAAAATGGAAGCACCAGTTTTCAGTGGGGAGTGTGAGATGAGGTAATTACCTATTGGAAATACACTTTCAGTATATGAAAATTATAACTTTTGATATGGTACATTACCTTTTGTCACATAAAAAGCCAGAATCCCACATTGAATAGTGGAGGGAAAGAAATAAACATTCTTCCAAAGTGTCTGAAGGACCCTTCCCAAAAGGAGATCTTTGAAGTCGCACCACGGGTATATTCTTTACCCATTGTGGAAAGATGTTGCATATATGGGCAGAAGGATGGATGAACACATCCAACTGGAAGAGAACTATGGCAGGATGGTGATCTCAACCATACATTATTTATTAAACTCAATCTTTGAAAATATAAAATTAGGTAAGATCAAGGATGTGCCCCTAGGTGTAGTGTGTCTAGGGTGTGACAGACTGTATGCTGCAAGTCAACTGCTGTTGAGAACTGACATCCACGCGGGGGCTAGGATGAGGATCATACCATCAGTAAGTGAACTACAATTCAAGATACCAACATCCATGTGGGGGGGTACGAAAAAGGATCATACCACCGGCAAGTTGACTACAATCCAAAACCTAGGCCACCAGGAACCGACATTAAAGTGGGAGTAGAAAAGAGGATCATACCATCTTCACCTCAAGTTCATGAGACCAGGGGGAATCTCGTACCTCTCAACCTATGAATGGGCACATGATAAGGATGTGAGAAATTGAATGATCAACCTACAAACCCAACATCTGGCATCGAAAAGATGTTGATGTAACGTAAACCATCTCACTCAAAAAATATAATGACCGCAACCACCCCAAGCACAGTAACATCCTCAGAATAATAAGCATTGAGGGATAGTGAAAGGGAAGAACCACAGTAATCTGCAATTACTTCCACTGTGATCCACTACACGGATGGAGTAACAAGAGTAGAAATGAGTGAGGGAATTGATATATTTGTAATACATGTGTGAAGACTGGGAACCAACATTCAAGTGGGGGTAGGATGAGAGATTCCAATCAAAGGGGTGAACTAGAAGTTTGATGGCTCACTCCAATGTTATAGTGAAGGATATCTTGTCATCTACACCAGTAGAACACCACCACCCTATTCTCAACTGTATGGTTTATAATCATTTATATATTATTCATATTTCATTAACACATGTAGGAGGATGCCTCCATGGTCCATCACCTCAGCAGCTTGGAACTGGAAGGTGGTAAGGACTCTCAAACTCAAGTAGAAGAAAAGAGGGGAGAAAGTGCAGTGGAGAGTCTGGAGGAATGACAACACCTGAGACAGTACAATGGGAGACCACAAAACTATTTTGAAAAGCAGACCATACTGATTTATTCAATACAAGGCATGGCAGTAATCCCCTTCTGCTTTACCCATGTAGTCTATGGGTGAGTTCGGTCCAGAACAGGTAACCTAATGAAGCAAACATATCATGAGGATAAATCTATAATCAATCTTGTGGAACACTCCATCTCTGCAATGTGCATTGTGTGGCCATGGAATTATAAGTTATTATTTTCTTAAACTGAAAATGTTATCCAAACATACCTCTGCTAACACTAATAGCTATTTCTTGATCTTCATCTTTGCCATCAAACATTGTGTTTGATTGCTCCAGTCTTTATATACCACAGTTGACTGCCCTGAGCCATATCTAATTTGCAAAACTTTACGTGGTCCATTAGATATATTGTAATAAGATATCACCATCCAGAATTGCATCCAGATGGTCTTATGTAACACCTCATCTCAACAGAGCCCATTGCAACCAGGAACCGATATAAAGTTTACTAATGCAGAACTTAAGTACAAGCATACTTGGCTTGGCAACACTCGCCACTGAGTGGGATCCAAAAGAAATCAATAGGGACCCTAGAAGAGAAAATAACAATAACTGTAAGTCAAATAACATGTCACACACCTCCCTGTTAAAATCTAGTAGAGGTAGTCAACACAGCCACAGGGGGAAGACGAAATCCCATTGAAGAGGAAACTGCCAGATCGTGAAGGTAATTAGATATGAACATGTCGAGAGAAGTCCACATACCAGCCTGCAACATATCTTCTAAAGAACAGTTCAACCGAGCAGCCAAAGGCATTAATAAAACTCGAGTCTGTTGAGAGATGACGTGGAGCATATTGTGATCATTAACAGATAAGCCCAAATAGGCAATATGGATCAACTTCCAAAGCCATCTGGTTAAGTAACAGGTGATAAATCCCTTGACACTGCAGGATCCCAATGAATAAAAAATCTGTTCCTAAGGCCTCGAAATGGTTCCATACGAGCCACATAACATCTGAGCCCCCTGCGGGACATAACAAACAATCTGGGTCTGATCTACTGTAAGGATGAGAAATGCCAGGTAAATGAATAGGAGAAAAAGATTTGTTTCCTTCTCTGGCATCAAGAGTTTTTGGAATAAATGATTGGTTGGGATAGAGCAGAACATAGGTAGAATGATAGAGAGTCCACTGAACATGAATGGCAAATAAATCAGAACAACGACATCTGGAAGCTAACAGCAATAAAAAATAAACTGTGAGGGAAAGGCGATATAATGAACAGGAGGCCATGGGTTTGAAGCATGATGTAATAAAGCATGTAAAACAACCCTAAAGTCCCAGTTAGGCAGAAGGTGGCTGATCATATGAGTCCTCAGGAGAGGAAGCTCTAGTGAAAGAAGGAGCAGGAAACATGGAGTCTAAATTCTACCCAGAATATCCCATTTCAGAATGAAAATTCAAATCAGCACCTCCTGGAGGAGAGATACCCCCAGGGCCACATGAAGGACTCCATCTCGCCCCAAATCAGGTCAAGGACAACTTATTAAGCCTAATCGAACAGTACAGAACAAAGAATATCACTAAGCACTAAAATTAAAACTTAACATAACAATAAGTATGTACAATATTGGCAGAAGTTTATGTGGACCCCATCTCAAAGGTTCCACACAAACCTTGTGAATAGGAAGAAGGATAAAAGGTAAATAATAACAAAAATTAAATAGATGTGATTGTATAAAACTATGGAAGTGTGTAGTAACAATAACATAAGTATGAGACATGATTCATGGAAGAAAAAACAATATAGGTAAACTAATGATTGATAAACCAATATGATGAATTACAGGTAAGCCTAAAATTACAAAGACCATGGTAAGCCTAAGAGAATGGTATAGGGGAAAATATAAAACTAAGACTAATTGCTAACCTGAACTATAAGTATTAACCAATCTAATGAAACTTATGTTATGGAACCCAAATAACTAAATATAATAATATTAACAATAAAATTATTAATAAAACATAACAGTAGAACGTCTTAACTTTCCAAAGTTGGCGGACTACATTTCAAATGTGTGGGCCCTCAAACTCAAGGCGAGGCCCGATGGAAGTCAGTTCATTGGATGATCAATCTCCCAACAGAGTACAGCCAAAAATCTTCTCATGGAGTACTGTGAACTGACGCCTATGTAAATGTGCTAATAGAAAATATAACCTCCGAAGTGGCAACATATAATTCATAATGCAAAATGAATAATCAAACACAAATGTGTTGGCAAAAATGAATAAAAAGTTTTTGTAATGAAGTAATAAATTCTGTAACCAAGTAGTAATATAAAATAATTCCACTTTGGAGTAACTTAAGTTACAAATATCACTATTGTATAATAAAAAGTAAACTTATTGAGAGAAAGTAATGCAAAGATATGGAAAAAAATTAAAATAAAACACTTGAAGAGAGCACAAAATAAATGTTATAACACAAGTACAGCCAAGTGATAGTTCAATAGAATTGAATAGTGTGTGTGTGTGTGTGTCACGTTCATATTGGTGGAGGTTTGTCGCATGATAATTTGCATGCAAGACACATTGGAAATAGTCATTCCAGATGGGTTTTAGAGGCTTGTGGTGTGTGTAAAAATATTTTTGCATATAGAGGGCAGCACTAAACAATAATAGATATTTATGTAAGATGTTTTTTGAAGTTAAGCACAAAACTACACAATGGGCTATCTGTGCTCTGCTCACCACAGGTATCAAAACTGTGCCACTGGGAGATTTTTATATAAGAAGAGGTAATGTACCATATCGGAAACTGAAGTTATTACTTAGCTAAATAATACAAAACCACAGTTTTGAAATCTGCTAAATTCTTAATGGTTAAAGAAAGATATTTTAAGATTTTAAGTAAATAATAGTTTTTTAAAAATTAAATAGAGTAAATAACTTTTTAGTTCAGATTTTTAATAGGTAGTGTTGCAACACAAAATTACTCTTTAATGAGTAACAAACAAAACTGAACTACATTTGAATGAAATACTCCACATTCCAAAACAATGTCTGAAAAATTACTATAAACACATCCTATACACAAAAAGCAAATGTAAACATTCTAGAACCAGAAAGAAATTGATATTTTATTTGTGGCAAAAAAACTACTTTGAAATCTACATCACTCTAGTACATCAAACTCTAATTTTTTTCTTGGAACACTTAAATTTTGTTTTGACAAAAATATTAATGCAGTCAAATTCAAACTGTAGTGCAAGGAGCTCTTATAATAATAATTAATAGTAGCCTAAAGACTAATTGTTTTTAACTGTGTAATTATTGATGAAAGATAAAAAATTGTTTAATTTTTTTGTAAACATTACCTGACTGATTATATTACTATTTCTTTTCACTAAAGGTAATATTAAAAATATTATCTGCGACTTAAAAACCCAATAAATATCTGACTCAGTTTGGTAGAAAGAAATAAATATACATATCTTTAAAAGTGTGAAATACTACTTAAACACAATAATTATTATAATTTTAATTTCTTGGTTGATCTTTAAGAAAGTATCATAAACATCTTTTAATTAAGCCAACATAAAACATCTGCATATTCTTTTAAAAACAAGCCAGTTAACAATGGCAGTTCCAAATTCACTCAGCTAATTTTTCACTTCCTGAGAGATCTAATTCATTATTGCATTCATTAGCTATTCCAGAACCTGAATTAGTAACTTGTTACATCTGAAACAAATTTCACTATTTCATATCCTTAGTAATTATTTACCCATTGATTCTCCAGTATTTTCATATTCTTCATCTGTTTGTGCAGTGTTTATAACTTGAGAAATAAAATGCTCAAGATGTGATCCAACAAGGGAATGGCTATATTGATTCTCATCCACAGATGATGTACGTGAAAAAGAAACATCTAAAATAATTTTTGTTCGATTAGACAAAAAAGTAAGAATGATGAAAATTAACAAAAATGATTACTTAAAACCATACAGATATAGCTGTAACATGATTGTTAAATGAGCTAAAATTTCCAAAAATGATTTACTTACAATATTGCACTTATATTAAATTCAAAGCATATTCACTAAAAATAAAGTCATATACTTTATGAAAAAACATAATTCTCATACTTTACTGACAATTTAGTTTTGAAAACCATTCCTTTCAAGTTTATTAATCAATAGCCTCTTTCATATGCAATTTTTCTTGCCACATCCTCCAGCAAGAATTTAAAACATACAAATATACTCAAATTATTATTAATTACTAAATTTGCACATTTCTAACCACCTATTGATCAAACCTTTAAAGCTAGAATTACATCTAAAACAACTAAATTCATATAAATGTTTTCAAGTACGAAATTCTATCTTTAGAACAGAAAATATTATATTATATTCTTAGGTTTAAAAACAACTGTTACATCAATTTGTGGATAGGCCCTGTAAAAAATTGTTTACATTATATATATGTTTACCTGTAACTAATAAAATAAATATTTTTTTGTTTAGGAACTTTGAACTTTATTTCCAATTATCAACTTTATCCAATGTATTATATATCATGTTATCTATGGTAATACTTGAGAAATCATTTTTCTTTAGAAACATTTGAATATTTTTTTTTTACTTCTTTACAAAAAATATTCATACAGACCAAGGGAAATGAAACATAATAATGTGAAAGATTACCTGGTTGTCTATTATTCATATCATCCTGCATGCTGGACACTGAAGAAACCTCTTCTTGATTTATGATGGCATTATCTCTTTGTCTTTTTTTAAGCTTCTGATAAATTATTTGGCCCACAATGACAACAGTAATGTAGATAACATACAGCACTAAAAATCCTGAGAAAACACATTTTTGTGTTAGTTAAATAGTATCATTTAAAAGATAAATAACTTTGTGGTTTTTCTCATAAATAATTTAGGAAAGATATTCATAAAAATTTTACTCAAAACAAAACTGTAAATTACATTATTTATATAGTACATTAGAACCATATTGTAAAATGAATATTATAAACATTTTAAAACTAGATTAAATTATGCAGAAGTCTTTATTTTTTACTTTCAACTAATTAAAATACAAACTTGCAGATTTTATTCAACAGTGGCAATTTTTTAAATTATGAACCAACTACATTCACAATTCATTTATACCATCATTATGAATACTACATGCTATTTCTTCTGCAGCATATTCTCTCCAAAATGTCTAACAAATTGTTGAATATTCTTACATTATAAATTTGCGCAATGAGTCTGATGTATATGCCACAGTTGACTGAACAAACACAAGATGATCTTTAAGATGCAGTTGAAAATATAACATCAACTGATTACACACAAATACATTTAGAATCTAAACAACTTTTATTCTGACAAAAACTCACCAGTGGCATCTATTAATGTTATTTCTTTTTTACTAAATAAGTAAAATGCCCAGTAAGTAGCACCTAAGTAGAACACCATGTCTTTCAGAAAAGAAAAATGCTTTGCAGTAAATTCTTGGCTTAAACAGACAGAGCCAGCTACCACAGTGGTCACAAATATACCAGCACCTAGAAATGAGCATCATTAGTCTGATTTTTCATATAAATTAAAAGAAATTTTAAAACATAAACAATTATAACTTATATTGTGTTTTATTAAGAACAATGTTAATGCATCTGAATCAGTTATCATTAATTTGCCAACTTAATTCTAAATTTACAATATTCTCATAAATTTTTACTCCAACTTACTGTTAATATATCTGAAATATTTAGTAATATATATACACATTATATAGATATAGATACTTTATACATTCAGAGCTCAACATGAATAGTTTCCTGAGAGAAGTTAGTCAGATTCGGGGGAAGTGGTTCTGTACTATTGTGACTTGTTAAAAAGTGCTTACAAACAATTGCTAGTGGGTTAACCCTTTGGCTCAATTTGTAGAGCACTTGTCTGATGCACGAGAGGTCCCGAGTTCAAATCCTTTTCAAAGGAGATGAAAAAATTACATTACTACATTTCCTCACCCTATCATTTGCAACTAGACAGGTGAAACAGAAAATTAACATTTCTTTCCTTGAATTTGTTTATCATTATTAACAGAAAGATACTGGTAATGACTTTCAAAATAAAATTTAGGTTCTGTATTTTCAGAATTTCCAATGAATTCTTTTAGTATTTAATTTTACAAATGAAAATCAAAAGAAGAAAAAGTCCAGTGGTCTTGAAAAAAATTATGGTTAATACTTGTCACCATTGTAATGGCATTTAACTGCAACAATACTTTCTTAACTTGAAAATAGAGAGAAAAATCTGAATCAGCTTTAAGAAACAACTGTCAAGTGTACTTTTTTTTCTTTTTAAAACAACTGGCTGATAGTAAGTGTCTTAGTTATCTAACAAGTTTCTGGTAAAAATTGGTTAGAAATAATCATAGTGAACTGAATGCCATAGAATAGAAATCGAAGGCAATGAAGCATGCTGGATAACCAAGTCAGGTAATGGAGAAATTCAGATTATGAGAAGATGCTTCCTTATAGGAAAATTCCAAGATTGAAACATTAGAGAAGAAACATCCATGGTTTATATAACCATTGGAAACAAATGTTTAAGAAACAATTGTTAAGGATTGGATGAGATAGCACATACTATGTCTGGAAAGAGTTCAGAAGTGAAGAAGTAATGAGATCACAAAAGGAAACTTAAGTCCTAGAAAGCAGATGCTATGCTAGAAGAACATGTGCAGGATGGAAGTCGAATGGCCTGTATTCTAGGCTCACCCGGGGGGGGGGTATAAACACCATATTAAGAAAAGTGTGCCAAGTCTGACAAATTAAAGAACAATAAGAATTAGTAAAACGTCAGAGTATTGTACAAAAAAATAGTTGAGCCAAAGTTAGAATTATGTGTTATAATTATTGTTTTGGTTCCACATGGAAAATTACCAACATCCTGAATACCAGGAGTGAAATGTGTTAATTTTTATCATGGTGTGTAAGTTAAATCGATCTTTTGCTTCATCTAGTGATGTAAATTCTTTAGTATGCCTATAGAATCATTAAGGATTGAAGTGACTGACCAGTTGTTTAGTTTATTTCCTTCTTAAAAAATACTCCATCAATTCAACTGATTTAAACCCAGCTTTGGCTTTTCTTAATATTGTGTATTTCTTGGTAACTGCTAAAATAACCTCTTAAGGATTTGTTGCTCCTATTGTAAATGTAACATCTATATTGGTTGTGAGTTGTGGGTGTGACTTTCACTCATTACAAATAAATGTATTTACTTCCTGAATATTTTTATGCAGTTGTGGGTAAGGCTGATAAGCCACCAATTTGAGGAGGTTTACATAAAGAACAAAGAATACAACAAGCACATTGAAAGGACATAAAACAAACATTTATTCATTACACATATATCAGGTGTACATATAATACATGTAAATTACTTTCAACAGTTTGGGTAATCTTTTAATAATTACACTTGCAATACACTCATTAGAAGTTCTATAATTGGTGAAAACCAATTAGAAAAAAGAACAATAAAGAAAAACAACTTTATGATACCATATTATTTATATTAATCTATTTGTGAACAGTACTTTGCATCTGTAGTACTTTAAGTTACCAGCTTTAGAATGAAATATGTTAATTTTTATCTAGATGTTGTTTTTCATGGGATTAACACTACTAGTGATTATCAGATATTTTGTGCTTTTTTCACCTGCTTAGTACTATAAGAGGTTTCTAAAGTTCATGAAAAATAACAGCAAAAGGCTATTTTCACAGTTTTTATTATGATATTATATAATTTATAATACAAAAGGAAATGCAGAGAAAGTGAAAAATGGCACCTAATTTATTATTTTTTTGACAGAACAAGTTGTCCAAAAGTTGGTGTCAAGAATGTATGTACTCATACCCACATGTACATTAAAATGCAAAAGCCTATTTGAAACTTTAGAAGAGAAAAAAAAAGAGTACAATAGTGAAAAATTTAATTTCACTTACTTCTGACACAGAACAAAACACAATCAACATAAACAGAAGAAATATTTTACATTTGGAATGTGTTTGTGCATTGTGATGCCAAGGGATGACTTTAAACCCCCATAACAAGTAAGAAGTGCATTTGGACTGGTTGCCAATGTGGCACACTAAAGTAATGGAGCTTGTGACTTAGAACTGAGTATCTTTTTTATTTATGACTTTAGTATACACATTTGATTTGTTGATTTTTCGAGATAAAATGGTGATATTAATTCCTCCAACTCAGCATGCTCAAGTTTATTTCTGAAAGAAGAAAAGGAAGTAACTGAACAGCTAATCAAAAAGTATTTTCTTTTTCTGTGGATATGTACATTATACTTACAGTATTTAATTATGTATTAAATATTGCTTAATACAGTAAAACCTAGACATTAAGCACACCCTTCAGACTATCAAAATTCCCTGTATAGCAAGGTGCCCTTAATATCAAAAATGAGTCATGCAAAGCTGTATTCCATATTGACTGTACTAAATTTCTGAATTTTAAGGCTCCTTCATTTTGTTTGGTGTATACAGGACACAGGTTTTCGTAAGTTGCACATTGCCATGGCATGGAGCATTGTCAACAGGAGGTCTCAGGGAGTGGATTAGCTGTGCCCTTTTTTCTTTATTATTGGTCACAAAGTGTCAAAGTACTTCTCTTCAGAGTTTCAACAGCTAAACATTTATTTTCTGTATTTATTTTACTGTCAATGACTTAAGTAGAAATCTGCTGAAAATAAAACAACAAATCACCATTTGTGTCATTAGACTGTTTACATGACACCGTAATACGATACCCTTGAGAGCAACAAATCATGTGCACAGAAATAAGTTGACTTGACTTCTTCTCCAAGAACACGATGTGGAATTTATCAGCTTATATATCCTACAGTGTTTACAATAAGAATTCCCCACAGTAATATGATTGCTCCTTTTAATCTATGAAAACATATATTACAGTATGTGGTTTGGAGCTGATCCAATAAACAATGCAAGTGTTTGAATATTGGTCATCCTTCTGGGATGTTTAGAATTTAGCAGTATACCATACAAGCATACAAATATAACTGCCTGCTTTATGGAGTGCCTGTATAGAGAAAGAGACTAAAGACACTGCCATTAATCGAGAATATCGAGGTACCCATTATTACAAGATATATTTTGGTTACAAATAGTAGAAAAAAGAGAGACAGACTGAAAAGGTCTGCCCTTAATGGCATGGTGTCTGTTGTTTCAAGGTGCCCATTAATTGAGGTTCTACTGTAGTTATTTACAAAAGTTCAATATTGAAAATATGTATATTTGCAGATGACAACTCTAGAAAAAATGTGTTTTGTATATATATTTCTATTTTATTTACTAAACATTTTTTGTGGGACTAACCATTGGTCAGTGACCTGTTATAGTGACTAGACTATTTGGTCTAGTCACTCAAAAAGTTAATGTAGAGCCCTGAATGCTAATTAGATATCTAAACATGTTTATAAATTTTGGTAAAAAAAAGGATGGTTTAACAACATAATAAACTATTTTATATATATATATATATAAAAAGCTGAAACCACAATTTCAAAGACATTTAATATTATCATTTAAAATCAGTAACATTTAACTACACCATAAAACAGTATTCAAACTATAGTTATTTTTTTGTGAAACTGTTTTCATAACAGTTTCAAATTTAGTTTGAAAAGACATTGAAATATATATAATTACAGAGTTTATTTTTGAAAATTCTTTACTGAATTACGAATCTCTTAAAAAGATATTTCACATAAAAATCATAACATATGCACACACACAACACTCATAAAATACAACTACAAAAGAAGCTATCTTAAAAAATATTAATATTAAATGCTGATACAGGAAGCAAACTTAATTACCAAACAATGCTCCAATCACCAGCTGAGGTCTTTGCTGCTGTATGCCAGCAAGAGATGAAAAAATATCTGGGGCACCATTTCCTAAGGCCAAAAATGTCACTCCCTTTCCAGCTCATTAAGAAATACTTTTTAAGAGGTATTTTTCATTACTATTGTAGTATAATCAAAATTATTCAATGACACTGATAAAGGTTCTTCATATTTATTGATGTTTACTACTATTTTGTAATTACTTAAAAATCATCATTACTATTTTACATTAAACAAAAAGCATTAGGGAACATTTTTGTTAACATGAATATACTCTTAGAACTATTCCTACATATCTATCAAAACAAAAACTGCAAATCTTTACACTTATACAGCTTAAATAAACTGCAAAAAAATTAAATTTACATATGTTTGCATCCTTTACTGTTATACACATGTAAGCCCTATCAGTATTGTTTATCTATCTGATATCATTTACTAACAAAAAAAAAAGGATACAGCAACGTTCTGTGACAAACCAAGTGTTTTGGAAATTACGATCAAAGCAGGACACAGGCTGCGACAGACAGTGAAAATACAGAATTAGAACAAATACTATACATAAAAATACTTATCGCTTCATTGATGAAGAGAAAGTTAACATCTTTCTTATCTGAAAAAATATTTCCCACAGATAACTTGATACACAAAAAGCTATTTTCTTCTTGAAGTTGCGCTAATCTGCCTGAAAGAATTGCATGCCACCAGCCTTTCGAAAACTCCAACCTAAACTTCACATGAATCACGTGAATTTGCACTACTGCATAATGACATATCATGCAGCAAAACCCTTCACCAGTAGGAGTACAACACACCTTCTTGCACAAATGTATCCTGTATATTCATGCATGAAAATCCTCATTTTTTGATAAGGCAATGAATAAAGGTGCATCGGGAAAGTGGGGAGGATTGGTGGGAATGTGTATGGAGGCAAGTATCTATCAGAAATACATTTTCAATTAAGGAAAATGTAATCAGGTCACTCACCTCTGTACATAGAAAGCTAGAATCCCACATTGATATGGTTGAGGGACTGGTGCAAAAGTTACCTAGATAAACTCTCTTCAGCAAGTATCTGAAGGAAGCCTATGGCAGGAACTCTATAGGGACACCCTCTGTGAGAGGCCGCATATTTCATCTCATCCAGGGTATACTCTTCACCTGTGAGTAGGATTAGAAAAGGCAAAAGGCAGAATAGTTACATGACTATCGAAGTACTTGAACACGAGATATCAGATTGCTAATAGGTCTAGTGAGGTTGGGGTTCATTCAAACTTTACCTTATGAGCATACCTCCTCAACCATCAGTCTCCACAGGTCAAAACCAACCATGGGAGAAAGGCACTTGTTCTAAGTATCCATGCAGAGCTTTTCTACCATCAGGCACTTTGGGCTCCTTGCCAGTCACAGGAGGATGACAATTTTCACAATTAGTGTGGATACTTTTATAACCACCACTCAACTAACAGATACTACAGGCCCCATGGAGCTGGTAAATGGCAAAAGTCTACTATCTCCACTCGAAGGGGAGTTGAAAATTCTCATAGGGGAGACCTACCATAAAGGTCTGTTAGTGGTGACAGTGCAATGGGAAACCAAAATGCCCTATTATTTTGAAAAGCCAGCAAGAACTAGGCAGAGTACCAGGCAGGTGCACAATTCTGGTGCAGACTTTTTACATAATAGTCCATGAAATGGGTACAGTCCAGATCAGACTGGAATGCTATATAACTCCAGTGGTCTCACAGTGTACACTGACTGAGCCAGGGCAGATGGTATGAGCACTTTCCATTATCCCGGTTTGATGCAGATTTTGGGCACATTTACTCTGGGAGGCAATGCTAGCTGCCTAGTGTGATCCAAAAATGAAAGACAGGCAAGGAAGGAATAAGTAAACAATGACACTGACCTGTTAAAAGGTTTAAGGTTGATTAAAGAATGGTAGTTGGTGGAAGTGTGTGTGTGTCCTTCAGGAAACTAGACAACTAGATGGCAAAAGTAGTGGGCAACAAAAGTGTGGGGGTAGTATGCATATAAGCGAAGAGAATCTTTTAAAGTGGTCAGTAATAGTGAGCAGCCAAAGAATGGGCCAGGTGAAAAATCTGGTGAGATGAGACTCAAAATAGTCACCAACTATCTACCCCCAAGGAAGAATAAACAATCCAGATGAATTGGCAGATCTATCTGGAAAGAGTGGAAGAAGAAATGTCTCTAGTAGGGGAGGATCCCAAGGAATGAAAAAAAAAACAGTGCTGGGAACCCCTTATGGAAGAAGTATGGGAAAGATAGCAACAAATAGCCCAGACAGGGCATTGGAATCTGTCTGGGTCAGAACATCCATAAATATGGGAGATAGAGGAAATTGGAAAAAACATAGGATCACCTTCCCTACCAGCCAAAATGTTATGCACAACTAAAGAGAGAATTGAATAGTATCTTGAGGTGAACAACATACTGGGTTGGAGTTAGGAATGATTTGGAGATCTTGACCAGCCATCCCAAACAGGCAGCTTCATGATGAATAAGGTAAGTTTGATCTGAGGATTCTTCCTAGGAATGGGTAAAGAGAAGTCAGTCATCCATGTAAAAGTGAAACTGTATTCCCAGACCATGTAGATGACAAGCAAAAGCTCACATAATGCAATTGAAAACACATAAGGGCCAATGCAATGCTGAATGGAAGGGCACAGAACTGATAGATTTGGTTCCCATGGATGAACCTAAGATAATGTCAAGAGGCAGTTGTTATCAGAACATGGATAAATGTTTCTGACACATCTATTTTCATCATCCAAAGGCTTGGCTAGAAAGACCAGCAGAGAGAGAGAAACTCTCCATCTCAAAATTGAGAACAACCAGAAAACAATTGATGGAGGAGAGGCCAATGATTGGGTGCCAGTCCCCAGTCTTTTATGGGACAATGAAGAAATGAGTATAATAGCCCAGAGAAAAGTCTTGAACTCGCTATATAATTTGCTTCTCCAACAGATCTGAAATTGCCCCATACAAGCATTGAAGGTAGGCTGGATCTGAAAAGGACAAGGGTTGGGAGAGAAGAGGAGAAGCAAAGTGAAGAGACATCAGGTGGGATCATGTAGAAGGCTGGGATACTAGATAGGAATGGATGGGGGGGGGGATGAGGTTAGGGGACAGATGTGGAGGAGTGAGAATGGGACAAATGCAAAACTAAATGGAAGATTTTGGTGAACAGCTTTGGGTTGTGATCCTAAGGAGTCAGGGACCCCACTAAATATCTCCTGATGGAGAAAGAAATCAAAACAACGGTCACAGAGGAAGGAGAATGGTAAACAGACATGAGAGGAAAGTAGGGAACCTCTATCCAAGAGGTCCCAACAACAAAGGAACCAAGTGAGAAGAGAAAGAACAGAGTAAGTTGAATGTGCAAGGCAAAAGAAAAGGAGGGTTCAAGTGTTTCCTGTAAATTCATAAAAGGAAATGTGGAGAGCCTCTGTCATAAAATGGATAGAAAAGAGTTAATGAAGAAGAGTGATAAGAAAAACACAAAGATGGGAAAATTAGACATTGGACAGAGAAACAGCCAACAAAGAATCTGCCCAGCCCTCCACACTGGCAAGAGCGACTCCAAGGACTAGGGGTCTAGAAAAGGAAAGTGACTGTAGGCAAGTAAGTAGGAATATGTCAGGCATGGAGGACAGAGCATAATATTGTGTAAATGAAATTGTTCTAAAAAGGAGGTAGCATGAATGGAAATATCAGGGGAGAGAAGAAAAATAAAGAAATTATGAAGGGAATGGTTGTGTAAAAGTGTTTGAGAAGCATCATAAGCAATGGGGAAAGGGAAAAAGTGGTACATAGATAGATTATAAGGTTTTGGAAAATTTTGAGGAGGGCTGAACTAGTTCCTCAGAAGACACTGAGGTACCCAAGGCAAAGCCAGGAGGTAGGAAAAAGTCACCAATTTCATCCTCCTCAACTTCTGCTTCAAAATTCTGTGAAGGGAAATATGTGGAAGGAGTGGGAGAAAAGGGTTCAGGTGGCAACATGGAACCCACCACACATTGAACAATGACTGTCACATTCTGAATTGGATGGAAATTGATCATTGTGAGTGTTATTGCCACTCATATTAGGAGAAGAAGAATTCACTTTGTCTATAAATTGAAGACAAAGTAAAGCTGTTCAAGTGAAAAACTTTGACAAGACTCAGCAATGACAAACACGTCTGAATGTGACAGTGCCAAGGAAAAGTATGAGGATTTTCACACTCCTATTGGTTGAGGGTTTTATTGCATGATATGTCATCATACAGTAGCCCAAGTTCACATGATTCACATGAAGCTTACGTGGGAGTTTTCCCAAGACTGATGCCATGCACGTCTCTCAGGCAGATTAGCATGACTTCAAGAGGAAAATATATTTCTGTGTATGGGTGTGAGTGGTCGTATTGGAACAAACTATTTCCAGTATCAGTACAGACATAACACAACTTTCATCTTTACCCATGGACGAAGAAAGGAATTTAAATTACAAGACAGCTAAAAATGAGGTACTAAATAACATAACTGACAGTATGAGTTTAAACTTAAGAGATGATAAAAGGTATGACCAGATGTTTCAAAAGAACTGTATGTACTAAAAAGAGAGATACAATATGCAACAAATAAGTTATTCAGATCATATATAAAACTTATTTGAGATTAGTGTAATGAGTGTAACAGGAGTAGTGTTTCAAAATCTTATTCTTGAAAAAATCTGCTTTAAAATCAAAAACTTGTTTACTGGGAGAAGTGAGGCTATATAAAAAAAAAGGTAAAAGAATTAGATATAGTTTCCTTCTGGCATAATGTTTTAACTACTGCTCTGAATTTTCCAATGAACTAATAAAGTTTGAGGTACAGCCATTACCATATAAATGCTAAATTTTTACTTCTATTTTGTGATGTAACAACCAGTTTTTTAAAGGTAAACCTGACCAGATAGGTTGTATTAGCAAGCCCTCTCAAGTTAGGATAACATGTTTACCTGACCAAATATTTTATATTACCAAGCTCTCTCAAGTTAGGGCAGCATGTTTATCTAACCAGATATCTTGTATTACCAAGCTCTCTCAAGTTAGGACAGCATATTTGCATCACTTGATATTTTGCAGTACCAAATTATCTAAGTAGCATTGAAGTTCTACATGTATATGCATAACTTAAAAATATAAAACCAGTAAAACTGTTTGGTTGATGAATAAAAAGATTTGTAAAATATGAAGTAAACTGTATGAATATAAACACTTTTGCTATCTATTATAAATATGTACAAGAAACCTATTTTATGTACACTGAAGTTTGAAAGATAAACACGTTAGTTATTACTTATTCGTTGTTTTTGCTAAGAAGTGTAACTAATATTAAAAACAAAAAAGTAGATTTTTTTTAATCATGTCAACCACACATGCTGCAAGCCAATGTTGACAAGGCCTTATACTCAATACAAGGGCTCATCAGCTCTTGTTACTTTCTTTTCTATTTTTTGTCCTCTCCTAAATCAATATATATCAGGCCTCCCAGTCCATTTGTAAGAAAAGTAAGTTGTAACATAAGTTGTAACTGTCAGTTTTTTTACAGATTTTTGGCATAATTTCTTATTATTTTTATTGTTCTCTTGCAGAGAAAATATACATGTGACTATCACTTCACATACAAAATTGTACTTACAAATCATCTGCTGTCACACCAAGGCCTATGAACATGATGATAACCCAAACAACCTAAATAGTAATGAATTAAGTAGATTAAATGATGTTACACACCACCAGGAGTGAAATTTTTCTGATTCTCACCAGCACTCAATGCTTTGGCTTTCTTAATCTACTTCTTTTCATACAACCCAAATGTCTTCCATCATATTTTCAGAAAGCAGACATATTACAACTCATAGAATCTAAAAAATAATTAAATATTCTTAAAATGAAGTAACAAATGAAATGAGTTCTTTCTGGCAACAAGATCATGAGGAGAAGTTACTTACTAGCTATCCTATCTATCTTGGTAGTTATTTTAGGTTTAGTACAGATGAGTACTGGCACTTTTTGTTAATTGAAAATTTAAATTTCACCCCTGCATACAACAGAATCTTTGTGTCATTAAATTTTTTTAACACTCTATGCAACATTAACATGTTGGCTGCCATGTGCCCTACCAGTGGATTACAACCAACTTTTAGTTATGGACCGTGTGACACAGACAATTATGTTTCAAAGCCAAATTTCGGTTGTGGCATAAGAGTTCACGACACTCTGAACTGCTACTTGGCACCTTTTCAATTTTATACATACTTAATTTATTATGTGGCAGCCAACACATTAACTGATAAGTTCTGTGATACTTCTCACAGGGATAGGAACACAGAATAATGTATTACACAAGTTATTGTGAACTATTACAATAGAATAATACTCATAAAGTGGATTGCATAGATTATTAATTAAACTTAATAAATCTTCTCATTTACATTAATAACATTCTTACTCCCTACTTTTTTTCAATTAAAAACAATTATGGTTATTTGCATTTTAAATATACATACTTTTACATAACTGAAAAACAACAATGATATAATTTACTGTTGACTCCCATTAGGTACAATTAGTTGATTAAATTAGATACTTTCAAATAACAAGATATTTACTAATGAAGACTTATAAACTACCTATTTTCACAATGAAAAGCAATTTCAGTGTAATGTGTATGTACAACTATATTTGACAAGAGATTCAAATAATATGGTCTAATATTATTTTATATAAACCTATTAATTTTGAATTCATATTAATGCCCATTTTGTTCAAATTATACTTAATAGAATAATCTGTATTTGAAATCCTGAATTATTCTATATTATAAAACAAAACAAAAAATACAGCATCCTAAAATCACTAAATGATTAGTTATTTCCATATGCATCTGGCATTTTTATTGTCTTCTTATGGAATAGCATGAATACTTGTTTCATTCTCCAACTATGCGAAATATGTGATAGTTGAACAGATACATCGTGGAAGAAATTTTTATACACAATTTATGTTGTATTTTCAGACAGAGATCCTTCTTGATATATTGCATACTGTTGCCTGCGACACATGGATTCTCATCTGTTACATCTCCTTCTGAATGGACCTGGTGTCCAAAGTTGATATCTATTCCTTTGTTTTTTAATGCCATTACGTACAAGGGATTTCCAGATCTTGAAAATTCTGAATATATCTTGATATTCTATATTAGCCTTATATTCCAAATATATTCAGTTGTTATATTCCAAGGGGATATTTAGGATATAGTTTGTTTTTTTATAAAGGAAAACTGCTATAAATGATCACTTGAGAGTTTGGATACCCATGAAATCTCTTATCTGTATCATCATTTTTTGATGTATTGCTGTGACATTATCAACAAGAAGCAACAAACATTCCTGCATACAAATAGTTTAATAAAAAGATTGATAATATGCCACCTACTGTATGATGTACTTGCTTACTGAGTAAAGAGAAATCAGTTTTTATTGTGCCTACTAAACTAATTACTTGTCAGAGATTACTTTTTATAGCAGTTTATGTTACTTACTCACAATAAATATAACATACATAATTCTCTAATAACTATTTTAATATTTCCAATCTCTCTCTCTTCTGTTAAATGTTCTCTTTCAGTTACTTGGCTTTCTGATTTGTAAAAAAAAAGCTTTCTTATTAATAAGCAGAACAGATAATTTGACTTTTCTCTGATTATATTTTATCACACATATTTTGCAAGTTTTTAGTTAAATTATTCTCCATGTTTTTTTTAGTACATTTTGCTTACTTAATCATTTTTTTATTAATGGCATGGTATTTAGTTTCTTTTGTGTATTTGCAGGTGTTAACATTTTCTACACTGAAAATTTATTTACAATAGATACCTACTCTCACATAATAGTTTTCCTCAATTTGTGCTGTCCTCTTTATTGCAATTTTTGCTTGCCAATAGCATCCTAATATCACCTATTTACACTTGGTATATCTGCAACGTGGCATGCAAGTGAGCATGTGACAACTCTCCACCAACAGGGGTGCAACACACCCTCCTAGCACAGCTGACTCTCTTTATACTGTAGAGAACAAACATCACTTTGAGATTAGACAAAAAGACACCAGAAGTGGGGAGGATTGGTGGGAAGTGTGAGGGGATAAGCATCTATGATGAATACATTTTCAGTGTAGGAAAATGTTAACTTCCAATATAATACCTTACCTCCACTTACATAATAGCTAAAATACCACATTGAAAAGGTGAAGGCGCTGGTAAAAAAGTTACCTAGAGGAGCACTCTTTGGGAGGCACCCAAAGAGAACTCATTGAGTGAAGTACCCTAATGTATAAGGTCACACTCATGGAAGACTACACCCCATCTGTACAAGGTGTACTCTTCACCCTTTGTAAAGATAACATGTTACAAAATCGGGTGGAAAAGACACCAGTCTAGTCAGCAATAGGATGTGCCAGATGATGTAGAGTATGTCATACTATAATTGGTAGGTTAACTGTAGTCCAAAACCAGGCAGCATAGGGTATTTGTTATCTGGTCTGCAGTAGGAAGAGAGTCCCAACCATCTTCACCTCAAGCTCAGGAGGCAGAAGGGAAAAGCAATTTCTGTTCCAACAATCCAGCATGGCACATGTGTGCAGACCCAGTACACAACCAACACCAGGCCACTCAGGAATCTGACAATTGGGGAATGGTGGGTCAGCTCCAGTCCAAACCCAGAGAGCATCAGGAATTTTTTGTCTGGTCCATACCAATCACATGTTTGAGACTTATGTTGGCTGGTCCTATGCTAATCCAACATCAAACTTCCTAGAAACTGACATCCAGGCAGTAGTAGGATGATAAAAATCCAGCCAGAGAGGTGAACTGAATGTGGCGAATTCATCCTGTCCAAAACCAGGCAGTATCAAGAATTTGTCTTCCAGTCTGCAGTAGGAGGAAAGTACTCATCATCTACACTGACATAACACCACTGCCCTACTCTTAACTGAGTGGAAGCAGTAACACTCAGGAGGAAGCCTCCATGGTCCACCACCCCAGTAGCTAGGAACTGGAAAGTGGTAAGGACTCCTGTACTACTCCAACACAGTTTTACTCATGATAGTCTATGAGTTGGTACAGTCTGGTACAAGCCTTATTTATGATGCGAGATACCACAAAGAACCCTCTAGTAGTCTTGTGGAACACCTAATCTCATCAGTAAGCATTACAGACCTGTAAGGTCATATGGTGTGGATATAAAGTTAAGTATACCAAGACAGGTGCCACTCATCACTGAACAGGATTCAGAGATGTAGAAATAGGCCACTGCAAAGATAAGATATATAAAAAGAGAACTTACTTATTCAGAGTCAATAAAGAGCATATAGAATGGTAACAGGAAGAAGTCAATATCCGGAACAAGAAATGCAGGAAGAAAGTAAGTGAGGTAGTACACACACCAGTTTGCACAAACTCCTTCAACAGATTACAGAAGTGAAAAGCCAAGAAAGTAAGAGGTCTTATTTGCTGAGGAGATATCAAAGAGTTGATGTGAATCTACATCCAATGAAGCATAGGTTAAATATCTCTGTAGCCTACTTCCACTGAAAAATGCCTAAATATGAAAAGTTCATGAGCAAAAAAAAAATTACACATCATTACACAACAGTGCCAAATTGAGAAGTGGTGGCTGTGCTGTACAGTATAGAGGGAGTCAGCTGCACTAGGAGGGTGTGTTGCAATCCTATTGGTGGAGGGTTGTCGCATGTTCATTTGCATGCTACAACACAGATATAAACCACATGTAAACACATGATGTTAGGTGGAGGTCTCAAAGCTAGTAGCGAACAAAAATTGCACATATAGAGGGCAGCACAAATAAAGGAAAGATATTATGCAAGAGGAAGTAAGGTATCATATCGAAAACCCACTTTCCCTCATTATAATCAGTTGAGTTTTTGTGTTCTCTGTGTTGTTTTACAATTTTCAGTGCATGTATATATATATATATATATATATATATATATATATATAT